AGAGGAATACCTGGTTTAAATGGAATTTCCAGTCTAACTTTTCTAAGGAGTCTCCACACTGATTTCCATAATGGTTGCACCAGTCTACCTTCCAACCAGCAGTGGAGAAGGGTTCCTTTTTCCCCACAGCCTCTCCAACATTTGTTGTTGCATGATTTCTTTATGATAGCCATTCTTTCTGGGGTGAGATGATATCTCAATGTTGTTTTAATTTGCATTTCACATATGGCTAGTGATGTGAAGCATTTTTTCATATATTTATTCACTTCTTTAATTTCATCCTCTGAGAAGCGTGTGTTCATCTCCGATGCCCATTTCTGAACTGGGTCTTTAAATTTTGGGCCCCTAGTATTTTTTAGTTCTTTATAAATTCTAGAGAGCAGACCTTTGTCTGAGTACTTACTTGTCGTGACTTTTTCCAAATTTGTGGGTTGCCTTTTCACTTTGTTGGTAATTTCCTTTGACGTGAAAAAACTTCTCAGTAAGATCAGGTCCCAGTTATTAATTCTTTCAACTGTTTCCCGTGTGATTTGATTTTTGTTCATGAACTCTTTGACTACCCCTATGTCTTTAAGAGTTCCTCCTACTTTCTCTTCCAGGAGACTTAGTGTCTCTGCTTTAAGGTTTAGATCTTTATCCATTTTGACTTTAGGTTGGTGCGTGGTGATAGACCTGGGTCAAGTTTTAGTTTTCAGCATGTAGAGAGCCAGTTTTTCCAGCACCATTTGTTAAAGAGGCTATTTTTCTTCCAGTGAGTATGTTTGGCCCCTTTGTCAAAGATAAAGTGGCTGAGTGTGTTTGTAGGGGCTTCAGCGAAGCATACATTTTTTAATATGAGAAAGTTCAGCACATGAACTGCCTAAAATGTGTTCTTAAATAACTAAGAAATGTTGAACTTTATATATACATATTAATAACTTTCAACATGATATCATTGAATTTTCTCATCCTTAATGTCTAAAAGAAGCTCAAATGAAAATAATACCTTCTTTTCAACACTAGAATAAATAATGTTTTTCTTTGATTTGCTAATTCAAAGCCAGAAAGTTGTGCAAATCAGCAAGTCAGGATGTCATTTTTCAGGGCAGGTATACATTTTTATCAATACAACTCACAGATAAAGTCATACAGAAGCACAAAAGTGATAGATTTCCACAAGAACACACTCAGGTGCCGGCACTCAGATCAAGAACAGAACCTACTCAGCCATCCAGACAGCTCAGCAGATGCAGGGGTCGGGGTTCAATCCCTGGCATGCCGTGCCAGCCTGCCCCCAGGGTACACTGAGAGGGCAATTGAGACTGGGCGTGGTGGTGCACACCTGTAATCCCAGCTCTTGGGAGGCTGAAAACAGGAGGATCACTTCGAGTCCAATCTGTGTAGTGAGACCCTGTAGACCCTGTAGTAAATACATAAAAAAAAAAGAAAGAAAGAAAGCAAAAGAACAGAACTTACTAGGACCCTAGAAGCCATCCTCGTGACTCATACCCATGACCTCTCCCCGGAAGTAAAGTGACTGTCCTAATTCCAAACATTGCAAAGCAGCTTTACCTGTTCATAATGCTCATACTAAATGGAATCACATACTCTGGCTTCCTTCACTGAATAGCCCACTTTCTTTATTTCTTCATTTTCTTTGAGTACCACCTATGCCATAAGTATGCCAGGGCACTTACCTTTTCATGAAGGGTTTCCTAATCTTTTTTCTTTTTTTATTAGTAGTAGGTTTATAGTACTGTTAAAAGAAACAAAATTCTACAAGCACTGGGGTACATGTTGACAATTTTACCACGTGCCCAGGGGACTGTAAGGATGCTAGGAGCTGTGGCCAACTAAGCCTGCTGATCGTGTCAGAGACAGGGAGCGTAGCTTTGGGTGTGGTCCTTTGATATGTGTGGGTGTAGGGACATGTGAACCCAAGGTTACCAGACTGATTCACTGTTTTCATAAGTTTATTTTATTTTATTTTATTTTATTTTATTTTATTTTACTGGATACAGGGTCTCACTATGCAGCACAGACCTGTCTCAGCCTCCTCAGCACTGGGATTACAGGCTTGCAACATCACATCCAGTTTCAGGGCCGGCTTGTCATGTGATACCAGAGAACTAAACCGGGTCCTTGCGCTTGCCGGGCAGGCACTTAGACTGCTGAGCTCTTTCCCCAGCCCTATTAATTTTTGAAAAGAAAAGAAAATCCTACCATCCAAACTTATGAAATAAATTCTCCTAATTTCTAATGTTGGACCTTTTTTTTTTTTTTTTTTTTTTTTAACCATGAGACCAATCACAGCTCCACATGATACAGCTTCAGACCTGGATTTTCAGGACACCAAAGCAGTTGTCAGCCTTCTGCCTTCCTCTGGGGTACATCCTGGTAACTGCCTTCGTGGCCAAGATACCCTCAGCCACGGAGGAGGTAAAGATGCTGAAGGGAGCTGAGAGAGAACTCTTCGTGTCACGTGGAGTGATAAAGGGCCACCTATGCAACCAGTGTGGTCACCCAGCGGCTGAGAAGATAAAGCTTTCCTTAGAGACTGTTTATTCTGGGTGTCCCTTCTCCACCCAAAGTGCTTCCTGGCTGCCATCTCCATGACAAATCTGGTGCAGAAGGCACTGTTTCTTTTTCCCGATCATTCTTGGTGACCTTTCTGTAGATTTAATGTTCTTGTTGAAATTCCAACCAGAGGTTGAAAATTTTTTTCAGCAGGATCAAATACTGCATGATCATTATCCCTCAGGGGAGAGAGAGCTACAGTCTAGCATGTGTGCGTGAGGGGACTGGGAGATAAACGACGACCTTCCTCTCCACAACACAAAAGCTCAAAGCCTTTATTCATTGTTCCTTCTTCCTGAAGTCAAGCGATTCACTTCTAGACAGGTTTGGCCAGAGTTCAGATTGCATTGTGCCAGCTCTGCGGTGGTAGATAGGTACCCCTTGCCTTGCCCTCTAGGGCTTGGTGATGGTCCTGGTGGCGAGGGGAGAAAACCAAGTCACTCTCCAAAGCGCTGGGTAAATAGAGTTCTAAGAACATGGAGGTGAGAGAATCAAGGACTGATGTACAGGTTGTCACAGGGTCACACCTATAAATTAGACTTCATGTTCCCAAAGTCAGCAGTTTTCATATTTTAACTCAGCTGAGAATCACCTACAAGGCTCATCAAAATACGGACTTCTGCCCCCCAACCCCACCTCGCAGCATTTCTAGTGGTGAAGAAATGAGACTGTTCCTTTCTAGTACATCCCAAGTGACCCCGACATGCTGCTGGTCCCTGCTTTGAGAAGCACTGAGGCAGAAGTGCCTTCACAGTAAGTGTCTTTGTAGCTCCAAGACCTGAAAGCTTCAGTAGGTCAGTAATTGGAATTACTTGCAATTTATTTTTATGAAGAGTTCATAGAAATTATTTTAATGCTGCATGCACTAGAAAAATCCACCTAGGCACCAAATAAATATCCTCTGAGGATACTGATCTAGTGAGAATGCTTGTCGATACAAATGCTTTTCTGTTTGCAATTTAATTATTTGAATATTCATGCTAACAAATTTGCTTTGCTAATAAGCTGATTATTTCCCATATTATTTGATACATACCAAAGCATCCCATTAATAAAATATTTTAAAATGTAAAGAAAGTAAGGTCTTAAGGAGTGATTCTCACAGCTTTAGAGAAAATAAGCAGGAAAGAAATGCAGACCTGCTCCAGGAAGTATTAGTGGCAAGTTCTGAACATTAAGGGCAAGTAAAAAGCCACATTTGCTCGATTCCTGTATTGGAGCAGCCACTGTTCAGTAAAAACAAATCACCTGGCTCTTTCTTAAGCAATCTTAGATTCTGAACTTGCTTCCCTTTAGGCTTTTTCGTAAACAAATAACTAGAAAAGTCTCTAAGGAAGGGAGAGGTCAGTTCCTCATTTCAGCTCTGGGTGGGTGCGTACAGTCAGAGCCCTTCCTCTCAGCCCTCACCTGGCAGCTGACTCTGCGGCTCCACAGACCCTGAGGTGGTCAGGACCCACCGGGACAATGTCGTTCTCAGAAGCAGACCATCCTACAGGTATTAAAGGCGTTCACCTGCTTCCTGGACTTCTCTCTTGCTCTTTCTGTTTGCTTAGATCCTATTGCTACCAGCTTTGTTTGGTCTTGTTCAGCTGGTCTTTCCAGATCTAACTAGGATTTGTGAATCATTAATCTCTGTGGTTTAATTTCTAGTATGCTGAGCTTCTTCCCCAGCACAGGAGTGGGTGTTTACTGGATTCTGAAAGCTTGGGAGAGAGAAGACTGGTGACTTGTTTTTTGTAGCGATCACATATTGCTCTAACTCTAGTCTTCTAGAGAATTCGGAGAAGACTTGGTATGGACAGATTCACTCACTTTGGACTCTTCACCAGATCCATGAGGGGCCAGTCTCTCAGGTAGAGCCTCCCAGGAGACTAGCCATGTACTGAATTCCTGAAACAAACCTGTGCGCCCTCTATAAAGGCTGCCCAGAGGCTGACGGAGGACAGATGGCTTGTGTTGGCGCACACGGCAATTGAGATTGAAAAAGAAACCAGACCTGCTTACTTCAAAGCTTAAACCCTGCCTACCTCTTTGCAGACAAACTCCCAAAGCCCTGCTGTATTTAAATTTTCTCTCCAGCTCTGTGGTGAGTCATGTTGGCAGTTACTATTACCTTGACTTGGATGTAGCTATTACTGTTGTGGTTTCCACATTCAAAACACTGGCCAATAAATAATACTTAATGACCTTTAAATCCCATTGACCATGAATAACCTCCTACTAGTGGTCAGACTCATAGGTCCAGATGACTGACCAGGACTCTAAAAGCTGTATCCCAACCCCATAAAAGAGAAAGAAGACAGACAGCCAAAAGGACAGAAAGGAAACCAGGGTCTGTGAATTTTGATGAGACGATTATGCAGATTTCCTTGTTAATGTACTGAATTGTTTTAACATTGTTGCTGCCTAAAACTTGGATAATTATCTCATGTAGACACAATAGAATGCTTGGGTGTGTGCAAGTGTGAAAGTACCTGTAATTCTGATCCTCTGCTTGGCCATTTGTTTGCCAAGAGAATGAGGAACTGGCATCTCTGCAAGCAGCCAGAGGTTCAGGACATGAAGAGACCAAATGGGCCTGAGTCAATCTGTAGTCAGAATGGGCCTCTTCATTTTCCAGAAAACCTGGTACCAGTTTTCTTACAGCAACCAGAAATTACCAACATCAACACAGAAGTAGTTACATCTCCCCTTTCACCAGATACAAGTTCTACCTGATAGTACCTGTGACAGGCAAGATGGATGGCCAACTTAATGGGCTTCAGAGTCACACAAGAGATTAGGAAAGCAGACTTCCAGGTATGCCTGAGTTGGTGTGGTTGTGGAGGCATGGCCATGGTCCATGATCTGTTGTTCCTGCTCCTTTTCTCTCTGGCACTCTTCCCCTGCTCTGCTTTCTGGTCAGCATGAGTTAAGCAGCTTTGCTCCACCGTGCTCCCTTACCATGGAGCACGGTGTTTCCATCCGGGAACCAACCGACCATGTATAGAACCCTCTGAAACCAGTAGCCACATGAACCTTGCCAGGTTTAAGTTGTAAATATCAAATAGTTTTTCCCAGTGACTGAAAACTGACTGTAATCAATGCCTCCCTTTCTCCAACCCCCAAAAAAGTATTTCATGCATTCTAGTTTGTCCTGTGAAGTTCTTTGACATGTGAATCTTTGAAGTCTCAAAATGCTAAAGCAAACTCAACATGAAGCACTCTAGAACTCTTTTAGAAATAAGAATTGAATTGATTTTCACTGATATCTAAGTCATTTCTTAAGCAATTCTCTCGTCTAAAATTCAGTACCTGTTCATTTCATTTGACCATTAAACCAGGTAAGAGTTAAAGAGAAATATAAGAGACTGTATAGTTCCCAAAAATCAATTATCACCATATTGTCTTAATGATAATAGAGCATCATATCCTTCCTCTTTACAGATAAGGGTGCATCTAACAGACTATTAATTGTTTCTACACAAAATGGTTGGACTTCTATGTCTGATACAGATGAAAATAAGCAATTAAAAAAGAGTATAAGCAAGTACACCAAATGTAGTGAGAAGTAATGAATAAACAAGAGGGAGTGCATCAGTGTTGGACCTTTTAGGGTGAAGGTAAATAATTATATGACATAAAAGCCTGTACCAATTATTACATTCTTTGTAGAATTACAACAAACATAGTATAAGCACTATATTCAGCACAGCGTTATGAATGATAATGAACAACAATGAGGCCCGGTCACAAGGATAGTATTTATTAGTTTTCAACCCTGGCTATTATCATGTTGAAGAAATAAATAATACACTGTAGAACAAGTTCTCCTAAAAAAGAGTGTTGCGATGCAGTTCAAATAATGTGCACTGAAAAGGAGTCTTACTGCCCTCATTCAATTTTGATGAGCCCAACGTATTCATTCCTATGTTGGTCAGCTTTTCAGTGCTGGGACCTATGATAGAGGAGGAAGGATTGATCCTTGCTCACGGTTCCAGAGGGTTCAGTCTGTGGTAAGCTGTCCATGAAGTCAAGCATTGTGGAAAGAGGAATTCTGCCCAACTCATGATAGACAGAAGCAGAGCTCACGGGAGCAACACGTGCACCCACCCAGCGACCAGTGGCCCTGCAGCTGGACCCCATCAGGTACCAGTGCATTCAACTATGACATCAGTGAGTTAACCTGCTGATGAGGACAGCAGCCCTCTGATTCTACTGACTCTCTCTGAGTCTTTTAATCCCATCAAGCTGACAACTGACTTAGAATTCTCAAAAGGTTCTAGATTACTGTGTCTTGCTTTACAATAATAGAAACTTGCCGAAATTCTTATTGGAGTTCTCAGAACATATGATCACCTGCTATTTTGCCATCCACGAACAATCCCAGCACAGTCTAAAATGCCTTCCCTGCTGCCCACAGCAGTGGAAGATAGTTATATGGACCTCTCCTCAGTTCCAACCTCATCTATAAACAATCAGGTGTTGTCTCTTATGATGGGATATGGAACATAAGGGCTTCTATCCCCACACATAAATACCTGTTCATGTGGGAAACTCCAAAATAAAAGAATTGTCAGCCATCATTTCCATCAATCAGGGTGTCAGATGGCAGACTCAGCCGTGCTTGAGCATGAGTAGGGCTGGCTTGGGACACACACGCGTCACAGAAAGCACCACATGTCTTGAAAGGCAGGGCAGCTAGGAAAAACTGAATTTTTCTTCTTTAAACTCAAAAGTCTTTTTTATTTTTCCTAAAATATGGAGATAGATAAAAATCTAAAATATCTTTTGCCAAACACTTCAATTGTCTTAAAAAAGGCCTGTCTTGATGTATAATTTGATCTCTGAGAGAGGGGGCTCTGTTTTCCTTCTCCATGCATCCTGAGAATGTACCAAAGTGCTTACGTATATACATAAAAGCAGAGTGTCAGGAGTGCTAGACGTATATTTGATTGTTGCAAAGTGGAATAATCTAAAGGTGGTTGGTAATGTTGCTTCTAGGATGTTTCTTAAGTAACTAAATTTTATGGGCATTTTTTACATGAGCCTGGAATGCCCATGAAGTAGACAGTAAATATATCTCAATATACTATCTAGATGGCAAGGCTGGAATCACGTATATTAGTTATTTCCAAAATATAAAGGATGGTAACGTGAGCTGGGCTGTCCCTCTCTCCCCTGAAGAACTAGACATTTTCTTCTGAAAGTTCAGACACCCTTTCCTCACCTCAGTCTCCTCATTTCCTCCAGATTTCACAGGCTGCTCCTCCTCCCTGAAGATGCAGCAACCTGCTCATCATTCTCCTGTGGGAAAGGACAAAAGAGCCCCAGAGGAAGAGTGGCTTTCCAAGGGGGAAGATGAACAACTTCAGTGTGGTGCAGAGAATAGCAACTCAGGCGATGTCACATGGAAGCTTCTAGAAATGGGTCCTCTTAGCCTTACAGGGAAGGCAGAGCCATCTGGCCCAGAGGAGCACCCCCAGGGCTGCGAGACTTCACAGCACCCACCAAGCCTGTCCAAGAAGCACTGTGAAAATCAGGCGACCCTGCTGCAGTTTGACCGGCAGGCCCCTGGCCGCATTTCCACCTCTCCCACTCTGAGGAGGCTAAGGGGCAGTGGCTGGAGGACTTCGCCCTCACTGCCCCAACAAGATGCCTTGGAAGAGTCCATCTGGGGAAGCTGGAGATTCCTGGCTGGCTCCCCAGGTCACCTTTCCAGGAGTCCACTGGAAAACCCAAAGGATTCACCACACTCCCTGTATCCCTTAAAACCCCACTCAGGGCGGCCTGCAGACCCTGCAGGGGCCCTCAACTCCATGGAGACCGAGACCAGGTCCTTAGATGAGGGTCCTCTTCCAAAGCTTCAGCCAGTCCATGAGACGTCTCTTTGCCAGCCCCCTCTTCTGGGACAAGAGAGCCACAAAATGTCCAGCCCCTCCCCACAGCGCCCAAGTCCTCAGGTAACCCATGCTGAATCTCTGCCTTGCATTTAATGACTACAAAGCAAATAGGTCTCAGGGTTGCCCCTTCCTCTAAAGGCCATGCGGTCCTTGTGATGTAAGATGGCACGAAATGACCTAAGAGGGCACACCTTCCTTTAGAAAGTACAGACTCTCACATAAAGGACATTCAGCACTGAGGGAAGGAGTTTAGGGACCTCATTTAACTCACTTTCTGGTATTTCCTTAAAGACACTTTAAAGTAAGACTATTGATTTCTCTTTCTTCAAAAGCAAAATAATAATAATGATAATAATAATATAGAACATTGTAGCAATGAAAGTTGATTGTTACCTCTTTCAAAATATCTGCTTCAGAATTGTGGATGGTTTTGAGCAAGACTAAAACAAATATTTTTGAAATTTATTTCAGGGTGAAGAATCACATGGCTCTAGGTATGTATGCACTGGTAATCTCCAGCGAGATGACTTTTGTTGACCATTTACTGTTACCTCTTTAGTTTTATTCTGATATAGCAAACCTGACGGAACATCACTTAGGCCTGTTTGTTCAATACCGCCCACACCACTCTTCCCCCTCAAGGGTGTTGAGAGTCATCATTTCAGAAGTCTCCTTGCCTAGTAGAGCGTTTTGCCAGTTCTTTGGGAACAGCCAACCTGCTTTTATGGTTTTCATTGTGAACTGTCAATGCTCCAGCCCTGTCGCTTGATTAATATCTATTTAGTAATAAGCTTTGTCTGGTAAAGAAAAGGGAAAGCTAGAGCACTTCGATAGCTTTTCAAAGCGAAATTCAAAGGACAATGATAAAAGGAACAAGATGTCCTGTTTAAATGTAGTCTGACCTTTACAATGTCTTTTTGACAGACTGTGCCCTTATCTACAAATTAGCGGATTGTGCCATGTTGGAAACTGGCTCTGACCCTTCTGCGTGGCCCCCTAGCTGAGCCAGCAGAATTGTCCCATCTCCAAGGAAGTGATCTATGGCCTGAGGGGAAAGATTCTTGTCCAGTTTCATTCAGCTGACCTGTGAGATCACCAAGAAAACTTACAGTGTTTAGTCAAGAAGAGTCCTAAGGGCAATGGCCACTGCTTCTCATTACACCTCAATCCTCAAGCCACAGTCCTCTGTTCATAGCCATATGATCAGCATAATATAGGTGACATTAACAATGCAGTCTTTGTTGACTGTAACTCAGCTTCACTTAAATGTGTGAACAAAGATAGAGTTATTACAAAGCCATCAGTAAATGCAAAGTATTGTGTGTAGTGTGTCAGTTACCTATTGCTATATAACAAACATCCCCAAACCCTTGACTAAAAACCAGCTATTATTTTTATAAATCTGTGTGTCCCCTCAAGCTCACTTGATCTAGCTGGGCTCCACTGACAGTTCTCCTCTCCATCACCCCATGTTTTTCTGGGACCGAGACTGCCCAGCACTTATACTTTCAGTAGAACTAAGGTTCAAGAGCATAAGTGGAAACAGGAGTGGTCTCTTGGAGCATGGGATCTGAGTCTCGTCTTTTGTTTTATTGGTCAAAGCAAGCCACATAGTAGAACTTGGGGTTAGGGAATTATGTGTCATCAGCAGTTTGGGAGCACTGAAGTGGTACGTGGCAAGGAACAAACTTGGAGAGTGGGACTGCTGCAACAAAACTTCCATAGATGTGAGATGGAATGCAACTCTCAAATGCTATGTGTGTAACGCAGGTATGTCAGAGAAAGAGGAGCAGATAGTCCCAGAGATGCTGTTGATTAGAGTCAGATCATTCAGGTCAAATAGGATTTTAAGGACTTCTGTTTGTTTCCCTAGTATGAAGCATCATGAAGGGGTTGAGTGGATGGATATGCTTGGGTGAATGCCATGGGATTTTGATGAAAGTAGACAAGCAAGGCAGGTGGACTGGGCAGGTATGAGCAGTTGGTAGGGTAAGCTGTAGTGAGGGCAGTGGAATTAAAGAGAGGTTTTTCAGCATAATGGGCATTTAGAAGAGACAGTCTCCTGGGTCTTGCTGTGGGGGAAGATTGATAAGAATGAAGCTTCTGATGACACAGCCAGGGTGATGAGTGTTTCTATTCCTGGACATGGTTATGTTGGGGGAAGAACTCTTTGTGCTACTGTCATTCCCTCTCTCCCTCTATAGTATCAGGTGTTCCCCTCCTGTATACTAGCATATGCCCCTGAAGAACAATAACCTCTACAGTAAGTCATTACTAAAGTGTGGAGGACTTTTAGCCTAGACAACGTGAACTCTTCTGAAGTAGAGCCCTACAGTTCTCCCTTTGGAGCTTCCCCGCACCTTGTTGGTGGTTCCACCATGGTATGCAAAGTAGTAGATTGTGTTCTTCTGTGTTCCTTCATCTACTCCTACAGTCGAAACCTTCCCAAGGATAGAGGTTACTTTTCTATCTCTGAAGCTCCAGCTCTAGTATCCATCTAGAGTCTACTTCCAAAAATATTTATTGATAGAGAAGATGAGGGGCCAGCCAGATAGCTCAGCAGACTAAAGCATCTGCTTAGACAAGACACAGGGACCGGGGTTTGATCCCCAGCCTGCCTTGCCAGCCCCACCCCCAGGGCATGCTGAGATGGTGATTGAGACTGGGCGTGGTGCCTATAATCCCAGCACTTGGGAGGCTGAAAACAGGATCACTACGACTCAGATCTACATAGTGAGACCCTATAGACCCTGTACGAAATACATTAAAGAAAAAAGAGAGATAGACAAAGAAAGATATAAAGGTTGGCAGGACACTTAGATCATGAAGTCCTCCAAGCATGTGCAAGGTATTTGCATCTTGGCTAAGGACAAGACTAGTAGCCACACAGCTGTGTTGTGGGGGCTTAAATATCTGCAAGCAAGTAAGGGAGATTTTGTGGATAGCAAGGCCTTCCTGACAAGTCTTGAACCTTAAATTCACAGAAAATTGCCTCCTTCACCTGTCAGTTCAGCTCTGAAGCCAAGAAGTGAAATATACATAATATACTTCAATGAGAATAAAAACTAGCCTTCCATGCTCAAAAGCAAACATGAAGAGCACTAAATATATCCAAACTAGCAAGGGAGGCAGTACTCACGTGGACACCAAATGACAATGTTATTTGGAAGTCTCTCTTGAGAAAGAAACAAATAAAAATATCAGTGAAACTTCCTAGGAAGTTAGATCCATCTAGGGCGACCACTGGTGGGCATCTGCGGGTTGAACAGTGTGGAGCCAACAGCTGGGTTTGAATTCTGTCTCCACTTTCTGACAATGTGGTCTTGGGCGATTTGCTGTGTGGCTGGCAATGTATATTTTTGCCCAAAAAGCGGAGATGCAAAAGCATTCATCTCATACACCCTTTGTACTGAGTAAATAATGAAGTGCAAATAGTATCTATTTTTATTTTTAGGGACCCCATTCATTCATTCATTCATTCATTCATTCATCCAGCAATTCCCCTACTCAAGTCACTGATTTCTAAAATATTCAAAGCTCAATGCCTGACCCCAGAAAGCACGTCTAATATGTCCAAACACTAAGCTGAATATAGTATTATACCTTATACAGACTTTTTATTTCAAACTTGGGATATTCCTAGCACTGTCTGAAAACTCCTGGAAATACTAGAAGTGGAGAGTCTCTCAACAATGTCCGAAAAAGCTTATCGGGAAAGTGTTCACTAAAGACTCAGACCACACAAAGCGACAGCTGCAGCCTTAGAGAACCCAACCAACATGGCCCTGGCTGCAGGGAGCCACATGCTCGGCTTCCATGAGCTTCAGAGCCTCTGGCATGACAGTTCCAGGGAAGCTGAAGTTCTCGTTAGTGTATGTGTGTTCGTAAGGAATTCCCACTGGCTAGCAGTTTCTGGCACGCAGTAGGTACTTAACAAATGTCTAAAGAAGAAAAAAAGGGAAAGATCGAGGCATGGTGGTGCATGCCTGTTATGCTGGCACTGTGGGAGGACAGAAGTTTGAGCCCAGCCTGGGCACCTGGGTGAGATTCTACCTCAAAATTTTAAAAAAAGATGGTGGGTGGGGCTCAGTGTGGAAAGCCTGAGTTCAATTCCCAGTACCACTGAAAAATAAAAAAAGAATGGAAGGAAGGAAGGAAGGAAGGAAGGAAGGAAGGAAGGAAGGAAGGAAGGAAAAAAAGAAGGGAGGGAGGAAGGGAGAATAGGAGGGAGGGAGGGAGAGAGGGAGGGAAGAAGCAAGCAAGCTAAGTTTAGACGTGTTTCATAGGAGAATCTGTAGAATTTGTACAACTCCTACCCCCTTTAGTCAGATGTATTGTCTTTGCCAAGTACCTAAGTGTCTCCCTCCTACTTTCATCTTTCTTTCTTTTTTTTTTTTTTTTTTTTTTGGATTTAGGACAGGGTCTAAAGTGTATAGGGTCTCACTACGTAGATCGGACTTGTAGTGATCTGCCTGTGTTCAGACTCCCAAGTGCTGGGATTACAGATGCGTGCCACCTCACCCAGTCTCAATCGCCCTCTCAGTGTGCCCTGGGGGTGGGGCCAGCATGGCACACCGGGGATCAAACCCCAGCTACGGTGCTCTGCCTAAGCAGGCTCTTCAGTCCACTGAGCTATCTGGCCGGCCCTCTCATCTTTCTTAGTGTTTGGTACTTATCTCTTTGTCTTAGTTACTCTTCTCTCGTTGCTGGGACAAATACCCGACACTCAAAATGAAGGAAGGAAAGGTTTATTTAGCTCACAGTTACTGGAGGTTTCAGTCCGTACTCAGCTGGGTCCAACGCAGAGCAGCACATAGCAGAAAGCAACCTTTCATGGTGGTGGCAAAGAGCAAGAGCGCAAGGGAGGGTAGCAGCAGCTCAAGCAGCTGGCTTCTCTTCCCACCTTTCATTGTAATGCAAATTACCTGCCCCAGGGTAGGGGAAGTACTCACACCTATGGGTACTTCCCAGTACTTACCCACCTATGGGTAATCCCTGCAGTACTAAAACCCATAATCCCAGCCTTGGATCACACATAATCCCAGTGGATCATGAGTTAACACAAACTCTAAAAGTCCTCACCCCATGACTGCATGAGGCTTTGGGGGGACAACTACACACAAGCCATAACACTCTTGAATCTGGGGTCTGTGGAGCTTTCTACAGTTGTGGCTTGACCTCATTAAGTAATAGCTCAACTCCTGCCCAAAAAAATTAGTAGCTTGGAAGGAGGGTAGAGCCAATGCCCCAGACACAAGTGTCTTCAAAGCCCACCGAGTGACAACAGAGGTGCTCCCCATGCATGAGTGAGTCTCCCAAGCAGTGTTTGTGTTCCAGATTCTAACAGGTGTAGTAGGCACACAGAGCCCCGTGGTTTGCTCCACACTTAGGCAATAGCCATGAGGTATGAGGTTCTTGGCAGTGACAGTGAAGGAGCTCTTCATCCATCCTGCCTTCTAGGTTTCCACCCAATGGAACGCTATGGCAGGAAGCT